GATAGGTCGGTTAACCAGATGAAGTATTTCCTGATGATAAGCAATCGGCGCCGCTCGCAATTGACATTCGCAACATCAGAGGAGTTATTCGTATGAGTGCGTTGCCAGCCTTTTTGGGATTGGGTAGGGATGGGGTTGGGAAGGATTTGGCTTTCGCTTACCTCACTCACACAGCGAAACAAAAAGCTGTTGGTTGTTTCACGTCGGTTTTCAATGAGGCTGTGGAATCACTCCGGTTTTGTAGACTCACATCCGGTTTCCGATAGGCCGATCAATGTTGAAATCAATTTAATCTCTTGTCAAGTCATCTGATTGGTTGACTGAATTATCAACAACGAATCAGATGACTTGAAAAGAGATTTAACAGGAGATGAGTTAATTTTAGCGTTGACAAGCCTTTCAGAAACCGGGTGTAATTCGTGAGCTTGGCTCTCCCATACTTGACACACGCAAATCTACATATTATTATAATTATGTACTAGGTACTAGCTCCTTCTGGTATCTTCGTAAGAAGTCTAGTCTATGTGTTGTTTCAGACTTTAATCTTCCTATTCCTAAGCAAATTTTATTCGGATTCATTCAGCAGTTTAATAGTGAAAGTGAACATGCAATTTCTTAATTTATTGCAATGTAGAATATGATATTACAGATATGTTTTACATGGGGTATAATGGAGTTTGTGTGTTAGTTAGGTGAAGCACAATAATGCACACGAATTAATTGTAGCGTGAAACGTTCAATATAAACTGTCAACATATGTAATACTAGCTATTCTCACGCAGTTTTACCCGCTGCTCAGCTCTATTTGATTGTAGCGTAATGTTTTATAGCCTATAGCACTCAGAAACATTGTAGCTATATACCAGTGAAAGAATTTTGGCAATCCGACCAGCGGTTCCAAAGATTACACTACCTACATAAAAACTTACAGTTTACAAACTTAAAAATTTTACCTCTTTGTAATATAAGTATAGAAGTATAGATAACGTCGGCTTGTTTAAACATTTAAACTGTAAAACAAAATACTAAAACACAGTTATTCGGATCATTTGTATTGACGAAATTTATATTGATATGAGAAGAGCGAGGACTAGCAACTAATTTGATTTAACGATATATTGGAATAGTTGTAAACAATTATAATTTAATTTACGCAGTTCATAATAAAATTACGTTATTGGTTCATGAATTCTGTGGATATTGTAAATTGTGTTCTGACATAGTTGTTGTTCCATAGACGTGGAACTGGTCAGGTAGTAAAGTTCTACGAAAACACACAGGAATTACTTTGACAAAACAAAAAATGTGTCCTGAAATTAAACACTGATTATTATCTTTTCATCAGTGATATCGTAGTTCCTTAATAGTAATAGATAACAAGTTTTATTGAATTGTGGACACAGTGGCAATTTATATTGTTGAACGTGTAAAAATACATAAATCTGAGAATACTTCACTCGGTCCCATCGACCTAAGGACCTCGCGTCTGATAGTAGCACAGACGACGATTACATGGGCGAAGACTTCTGTCCTAATATTTCTTTAATCAAAAATACAAAATCTGACAAATTAATACGGTTATCACATATGTTTTACTGGCTTCTGCCCGCAATTCTGCCCAGTTTACCCGAGTGAGAAATAATTATTTGTTATCCCAGACTATATGGTTTTTGTGTACGTGTGAGTTACAATCAGCCTTCCATCCTACTTACAAGTAATTGCGTTTAAATATGATTTTTAAAGCCTTAAAAGAAATTATATTCTATAGTTTCAGTAACATTAATGTGATTTTATTGAATAAAAGAGGTGCCCACCTACCACCTACCTCATTAACGACTAATGGGTTGCATTATAACAATATTACACTGTAATTTTCTAACATTCTCTTTTATAAGAACCTTGTGGCAGTAACAAATACAATAAAATTATACATATTTAACAAGTTGAATTTATGCGCTCACAAACAAATTTAACGATATTTTTTTTATATTAAAGATGGAAGATGCTAAGAAAACTTTTCTAATAACAGAACTATGACGTAGTATTACTTTGAAATAGAATAGTTATATTTGCTGACGTTTTCCTAACCCGAAAACACTCAGTTCTATCACATAGCAACAACCGCAGAGTGATGAGCGGCGACATGTTTCAATTTAGCAAGTTATAATTGGCTTGTAGTTCAGCCCACAATTGTCATGTTCGCCAATCTAGCTCCAAACATGCATGGCTTATAATATGATTGTTTTTAGTTTTATCTGTTAAACAGAATGTGGTAGCCATTTTTCTAGTGAAATTATTAACTGGATTTGTTTTGTTGTATTTCAAAATGTTACTATGATATTTTTAGTATTGTAATATTATATTATTTTACACAATACTCTCCTGAATCAATTCTTGTATAAAAATACAAACAGTTCTAATTATTTACATAAATACATGTAAATAATTAGAACTGTTTGTGTCGCGGTGGCTCGAAGGCTCAGGCGTCTGAAAGTGTATGAGGGTGCGGGCTTGATACCTGGCAAGTACCAATGTGTCTATTTTCGAGTTATAATTGCATTCTATGATTATTTAGACACCACTGGCAGACAGTGACGGAAAAAATCGCAAGGAATTCTGGACTTATAATTTCTAATAATAGGTCTTTACCTATGAAATTGCCGTTCTGCAGGACTGGCCATTTCAAATCAAAATAGTTTTTGTTATGCTAAGGCTAATAAATTATTTTTCCAAAAACAGTCATTTGTTTATTGATTAGTGTTACATTTTCATGCAAAACGTCAATTTCATAGGTAAATACATATTAAGTATGAATATTGATATTGGAATCGCCATTTCGCCTTGAGCAAGCGTGGTCAAACCTTCTCCGCAATAAAAGAAGCCTTTGCTCAGCAGTACCTGCAGGTTGACGATGGAACTTACAACACTAAAAAAACACATTTTCGTATCAAACGTTTTATTTGATATTACGAAATCATACCATGAAGCTAAGGAAATCATTCTGAACATCACAATGACAAAACTTTATTAACATTCCTCAAAATTAAATGTTACCACATTAACGCCATCTAAGTATAACATATTTATACAAAGCAATTTATAGTCAGTAGAAATGCGGCTTCATATTAAATTTCAAAACAAACATTCCATAGTTACGTAGCGACTGAAAGCAATCTCGTTGAACAAAGTTCAAGTGTCAAAATGAACAGTCTCAAGTAATATTGACTTCAAAGGTGGCATTGTAATATAAATAATTTGAACCTTGAGTGAATCACTATTGAGGTTATTTTAGGGGTTTTGGATTGGAATGTGTAAGGGTGAAATTTAGTGAGGAGGATAAAACAAAACAGCCCTCCATCGCCAATTAAATCAGTTTTAAACGAGAAGTAAAATGTTTCTTATTATATCAAATATTAGCAAGGAGTTCGAAAATTTGATGGCAAGCAAGACACGCCATCCATAGACACTTTCCAATATTGGAAAGTTTTTACATTGCGTTGTCAGTCTTTTAGGTGTTAGGCCTTTAGGGTCAAACCCACGAGAAATACAGCGTAAGCGTTCTATAACGTCAAGAATTTTCAGTGAGGCCGTGGTATATAAATATGTATATTTATTCAAATCGAGGTTATACGTGCCAAAGCATAGCATTCCTGACTATTATAGTATAACTTTGTTCTAAAGTTTTATAAAAATAACTCTATCTGTTTGCCCTGCCAATTAATATCCACCTCGCTGTTTTCATAAAATTGTTCCCATATGCAATTAATATCATGTAAATACGATTGCTTATAATAATTCCGCAGCTTAAAAGATTAGTAATAATCAACTAACGGCTAGAAAAGCCAGCCTTTTGGTAAATAACTGATTTTATTACTCACCCTTCAAAAATGGTTATGGTGGACGGATTTTTACAAGAATTGAAAAGCAGTAAGAAAAAATAAAATTGATAATTGTACAGGGTAAACAGGCTAGGCCGTTTATTGATTGTAATCAGATTACTTAACTACGACATGTACCAAAAATATTATTAAGTATGTTTAAGTAAAAGTGAAGCAACTGTCACAAGGCCGAGCCCGTTTGTCTTTAAAAAAAAAACGAAAAGACAATTTACTGCAACCACTTTAATAACCACTAATTTAACAACAAAATTTGTCCACTAAAGTCCCTTTTAATTACTCAAAATTTTGCAATATGGGTAACGCGGAGGCACCGTGGCGGCGTCCAGAATCTAACTGACTGCATTATGGATTTCAATATACTGCAATTGTAAAAATGCATACTCAGCGTAAAAAATGTAATGTGCAATGGAAAAATACGTTGTATTATAATAAAGGCTGACATAGGCTCTATTGCCTTGTAATAAGGGTTAACAACGAAAGTGCGTTATGAAAAATGAACACACAAATCTGTTTAGATAATGTTTCAACGCAGGAAGTACGTATACTCTATATATACTTGTAGATATCAATCTCAAGAATGACATTAGCTTTATCGTCTAATGGATCAGTGCCAACATGAACATCAATGGCGACTCAAGGTCAAGTGTGTTTTGAAAAAAATAATATTTATCCGACAAGACGTATTATATTGATGGTGTTTTGTTATGTTCAAAAAACTTTTAGTGGCCAACTTTATTTTTCGTTTCAGATTTTGTGTTTGAGCTGAAATATACTTTAATAGCCATTGTCGCGCGGTTTCACCTGCTGCTGCGGAAGATGACGAGAATGATGTTTGATAGCCGTCCTCAGAAAATAGTCCATTAAACACAAAAATATTTTTTCAATTCGAAACAGCAGTTGCTGAGATAAGCACGATCGAACAAACAAAGAATATTAAAATATGAGAATAGATTATAGATTCTTTTCTTATATTTTTCTATGTAATTATTATAATTTTGTGATATGGTCAAACCAAGAATAGAATGTATTGAAGATCACTTGATTACTTTTTTTTATCTGTTAGAGCGTCAAACAAGCGGACGCGTCACCCTATGGTAGTACATGCCGTGCGTTAGATTTGAAGATTTTGGATTAAGGGACGAAAAGAAGGAAAGGACGAAGACTGTGCTTCAAGTAACCTCACTTTTACCCAACGAGCACAATACTGTTACTGTTTCTGTGTTTGTTGCATGTAAGTCTGTTGTAGCTCTTAGGTCGAGCCGATCCATTCGTGCTTCAGTATACTTCTCCAACTGGTTTCAGTTGTGATATTATTATTTTCTAAATATTTTTATAGGTATGTTTATTCAGATATGTATATTTGAACCAAGCTTCCATCCCCAACTTCGGCCGCTCGGTATGTTAATAATGTCTATGTTCCATTCCGGAGTTTATCCTTATGTCTGTGCCAAATTTCATCCAGATCCGTCTAGCCGTTTTGGTGTAATTGACAACATAACAAACATCCAAACATCATAACTTTCGCATTTATAATATTAGTAAGATTTGCTATTTATTTTTATTTTTATTTAAAATCCTATATATAATACTATTACCCTATTTATAACACTGGTAATCACTTTTCAAACATAACATTTATTATTTGAAGAATGCATTACGTAATAAATCCTTTTATGAAAAATATTAAAAAATTATGATTTCGCATTCACTCTGCAATGTTCCTGATCCGCTTATCATGGAACTTTTTACGTTCTCTCCTCCACACTTCTTTGAAGTACATATTAAAAATGAATTTTACATGACCGAGGATTATATGGAGGGAATAATCCGTGTAGCTCCGTACAGAAAATAATTAATGATAGGCGTTTTTTCTTCATTAGTTATCATATTTCTGTAAAATCAAAGTATTTTGTACTGCATAATATTATACACACACATCTAATTAACTTTGATAAAACTCTGCTAAAGATATTAGTTACTTTCAGTATCATAAAATGTTTTAACATATTTTTTTATTCTAGAAAATTATCACAATTTCAAATATGTTAATCATATTAATCTGCATTTTTATGTATAAAATATTATTGCGACCAAAAATACATTTTGGTTACACTAATAATTATATGTATATCTGTGTTCCAATTCCTAAGAGACGTGTTACTTGATTGCTTGATCATTACATAGTTATTACTTTTTACGATAGGTACTATCAAGGGCTATCACAAAATTATTGCACGTCTGAGATTACTATGGGAGATGTGGTAGTACAAATCAGAATAGATTTCTAACTATAAAAAATATGCTGATTTTAATTTTAATGTGGATTTCATTTACCTAATAGCTTTTTAATTCCCAGTCGAACACCTTTCTCGAAGGCTTTTTCTACAAAGATAGGTTCCATCAAAATCTAAATTCAGTGTCGTCTTTAGGTTAAACAATTGCAATCTACATACACATCACACTTAAACTCGTAATAAAAAAACATGTATTACGTAATATAATCTACTACAATTTGCGTAGCAGTCAATTACTAAACCACTAGATAACCGTGAAGTGAAATCAGCTCAATCATTCAACCAAACGACATGTAATTTACTTAACTTTAAATAGGGAAAATGACCCACAACAAAAACAATATAATTGCCCTTGAATTAAGTTCAGTAATTCCCAGGTTGCTTGAAATAGAATTACATAAATATGAGGTCTGAATCAAATTATTGCGATGTTCAACTTAATTCTCGGGACGCGTTCGTCCGATTAAATATTCATTATTGTATATTTAAATTTACATTTTGGGTAGTAGAGAAAGTATGGGACGGACAGCGAAAGTTTCAATAGGATATGTTGTAATGTTGTATTTGACTGCCCGGTTGGCGCGGTGGCTGGAAAACTGGCTGCTGCGCAACGTGTCGCGGTTTCGATTCTCGCGCGTAACAACTCTTTGTGTGATAAACAAATTGTTCAATTGTTGGGTATCATAGGTATGTGAAATTGTATGTCTGTAAACGCACCCACGACACAGGAGAAAAACCTAGTGTGGGGCAACGTTTTTTTAAAGAAAAATAATAAGAAAATACTCGTTTATCTATCTCCTAAAAGATAGCACAAAAAACGCACTGATTATTCACTAAAAAGATGGAGGGTTTTAAGATTTATTCATGATTTTAATATTAATTCGATGTCACTATAAAAATCATCGTTCGATAGTAAAATCAGGACTTGTAATTTCTAACTATAAGTTTGAAATCACCAATCTGCATAAAAGACTTCTACATTACAGAAGATGCATTTATTCAGAAGAGGGCATGGCATAGGCTGATAATGAATTGTGATTGATACACAGGCCCTTTCTTTGCATCAACAACAAGATAAGTAGGAAAGGTTATAAGTCGCTTACTACAATACCCCAAGACATTACTTAAAATAAAATCTGAATCTCTTTTAATATTCGAAACACGACAAAAGTAGGCATTTCTCGAAACGAAAAAAGCCTAATCACAGTGTACTTCGAGCAGAAAATGGAAAACGAATCGTAATCGGGAGTCTGGAAGAATCAGTGAAGCGATTCAGTTTAAGCAAAATAAATGACTAAATGTTACTTAATTTGTGGTTAGATAATGGTATTATTTTGAGGTACAAATCCAAGAACAGCATTGGCAAGCCTACTTGAAGAGCTTGATGTCAAAGAAGCAAAAATAGATCGTAGGTATGAGTCGAAACCATTATATTCTGTCTGTACAATAATATTCTTCTGCATTATTAGCCTTCGGTACAGTTATATGGACATAGCTAATAATAATAACCCCGTCTTCTGTAAAGAGGATTGTAGCAGTAATATAACCAAACCATACAATTTTTAAGGTTGAGTTGTCAGTTTTTGTTTTTATCAGCCCTAGTGATTATTTTGATATTGAACCTGACCTTGGAAAATTACAACTCATGTCATTATTTTCGTCATAAAATAACCAAACAATTCTAAACACATAATTTGGCGGTGCCCTTGTCCATTCGTTCTGATATGAAGAACTTTGAAGATATTATAAAATTTATGTTCCTTCGGTTTGTTCTAAACTGGAAGTCCATTTTTGCAAAACGTTTTTTCATATATTTCTAAACACTGATTTCTCTTATATTATGCCAGAAAATCAATTCCAATACTAAGAACGAATCAATTCATCACGTGTCCAAAGAGAATATTGTAATTTGTCTTGACGTTCCCAGCAGCAGATGTCAAGGGTATAAATATTTTTGAAATGAATAAATTCTGTAATTCGCAGAAAGTTAAAAAGGGAAAAGGCACTCGCTCGGATAGACAAACAGGCTAAAGATATTTGCCTTTAAATTGAATTTCCATTAACGGTAAAATGATGTTAAGACAGTTTTAAGTAACAGTAAGTGTGGGAGAGCCATGCTTCGGCACGAATGGGTTGGCTCGACCGGCCTGAAATAACCACAGCGTTGTGTTTCACCGTGTGAGTGAGGTTACCGGAGGACCAATCCTTCCCCCCCCCAATCCCTCCTCTATCCCTAAATCTCCACATCCCTAATCCCCAAAAGGTCGGCAACGCACTCATAACTCCTTCGTTGCGAGTGTCCATGGGCGGCGCTGAATGCTTACCATCAGGTAATCCGTCTGCTCGTTTGCCGACCAATGAAATAAAAGAAAAATAACATTTCACATATTTTACCTACACTTGTAGCAAATACTAAGTCTTAAATTGTATAAACACGTTGATTAGTGCTGAGTATTAGTATTTGTGAATAGTGCAATTGAATGGAAAACGATTATATATATAGATAACCTATTTACTAAGCGACAAGTTAATACCAAGTACTAAGCACTTAGCTATAAAGTCCGTGTAAACTGTGTCCGGTATTTATATACAGAATAATGTCCGTCTGTAAATAAATATCGGACATCTGTAGTCTGTAAATACGTTTTCATTTGTTGCATAATATTAAGTAAAAAATGTCCATAGATTAGCATTGGATGTTTGATATAAACTTATTTTTTTATGATATAGATCGGCAAACGAACTGAAAATATGGATTACCTGACAGTGAGCATTCAGCGCCGTTCATGGACACCCGCAACATCAAAGGAGAAAGGAGTGCATTGTCGGCCGTTTAGGGATAAGGGTTTTGGATATTGAAGAATTAGGTATGGATCGGGAGCGGGAGGGATTGGGCCTTCGTTAATCTCCTTCTCATGGCGAAACACCACGCTGTAGTTGTTTCACGCCAGTTTTCTGATAGGCCGTGGTATCACTCCGGTCAAGCCGAACCATTTGTACCAAAACTTGGCTCTCCCACACTTCGTGTTATCAATGAGCTTCACTTTCTATACATCACAATAATACTAATCAGCTGGAAAATTAAACTTGTGCTATAAATCACAATTGGTACAAACAGTTGTCAAATACATATAATTATGTAATCATTTTCTGAGGCTTTGGGCCTCATGTTTAAACCAGGTTGCCATTATTACAGTACATTTTAATAATAAAATCACTTATAAAAAATTTGGAAGGTGTATGATGAAAATATGATTGATTTTTCACCAAAACATTAATTTGATTGATGTTACGGCCAGTATTCTTTGCCAGAGCCATTCTGGGCAGAATTGACTGAAATAAAATGGCGTTCCTTTCTTAAATGACAGCATCATTGACACAACAAAATAGATTGATCGAATATTAGACTTTCGGTCTCATAATAATATAATATGAGCTCACAAGATATAATAATATAGGTAAAGGTTAGGTAGTTACCGTGGATCCTAGAAAATAATAATAATATTTCTTTTATAAGCTTTGGATATTTATAGTTTGAAAATAAATTATAGGTATTTTTTTTTTGTTTTGAATGTAGTATAGATCTCATACTTTATTCGTAACAAAAAAACTAAGCTTATGAGTTAATTACATCACTTTACCAGCATATAAGTCCCCACTGTACACCAAATGCTTCTTCAGACATGTTGAAGAAATGAGCCAATCACCAAACTTGCTCAAGGCGGTTTAGCGATTTCATTCGATTACTTCAGGTTTCTTCACGATTTTTCTTTCTTCATATAAACAATGAAACAATGAATTTATTTTTGCAAATAGGCCATAAAACGGCACTTTTACACGTCAAATTATATGTGAAAAACTAGATGAAGCCGGCATTTCCTATCTGACTAATCTGAGAAGAAATGCCGAAACAAACTCAGAGGTCAGACAACAGTTC